ATCATGGTAAGGAGAATTTAGACAATGTCCTATTTTCACTGAACCAGCGTGAAAGGAACATTAAGTTCACGATGGAAATGGAAGAGAATAAGTCCTTACCTTTTCGACAAACGAATCTCTTCTTCATGAACTTTCATTCGAAATGAAGGTCCCCCTAACAATGTTATCTCAGGAGATTCATCGAAACAAATTTTCTCTTCGTATTCACATTTCTTGTTCCAGCATTGCGCAGAACCTGCTGGCCACAAAAACTCAGACCGGAATTTCAGTGAACAACAAGCTGTGGTTTTGACAAAAATTGCATCAACAACTATTAAACATTTAATAAAGTATCTCTAAGGCCCACTTCTAGCCCGACTAGTAAAGCGAATATATTTGGCCTACAAATGCTGCTTCAACCGAGTCATCCTTCTGAGCAGATATGATTTTTCACTCAGAAAGCCACATAGTTTAGTCGCAAACGCGATCCCTTTCTATTCAGATAATTAAGACTTAGAAGTAATGTCTTTTTCGACTTAAAGAAGGGAAGAATTCAACCTGACTTGACGTTTACACAGAAGTCTGCACTCCGTTTTACCTTATCCCATAAAGCACTTTTGTACAGTTAATTCTAAATTGCACCAATTTGATTCATTTAATTTGAATAATATATATGTACATCCATGATTCTTTTTTTATTTGATTTCTTCTTTTAACAACAGTTCACAATTTAATTTGCCAAGTACATTTTAAAATAAAACCAATTATAGTTTAACTTTGCGCATAACTCTAAGCGCTGGGCAGCATTATTTTTATTTTATTTGGCCTGCCTTCTATCTAAATGTATATGTTACAATTATAAACGCTAATAGACACACGACTCACACCGACGGGTTGGTATCCTCGCAATTAGAAGGATTTATACGACTGCTATTCAGCAAATTTAATCCACTATTAATCAAGAGTGAATTAAGCCTGAATATTAATGGGCGCGCAGATGCACAGATATGTATTTGTTCGTATTTGTGGGATTGCGCACTGATCCGAGTCCTGTCGCCTTCTCTCCCTATCACCAAACGGCCATCTGACCTGATGCAAATTAACTAAGATTTTAAACAGACCTTAATTTGATGCAAATTTTCTACTTAATTAATTTTTCAAACCATATATTTCTTCGTTGTTATCGGCTTGAACCCTTGGGGCCAACTACACTTATCTTTCTCGTCCCTTATTTCAATGAAATACAATTTCTGTAGCCGCTCATCGCGTCAATAAAGTGATGACACGAAAGTAGCCGAAGTGGCAACAGGAGTATCATTCGACCAATATGATTGATTAACAGGATGACAGGACTATATCTGAGTGTTAGCGGTTAAGGCATCAGTAGGGATTGCAACAAGAATCACCACAGTGGAAGTATGGGATCCATTTTAGGACTAAGGGGTCGCGTAGCCAGGCCAGCCTGTGCTCTGCAACCTTCTACTAATTGCCGCCACCGCTTTCCAACCGAAATTTTGTCCGGGCGACAGAGGGACCCGTTCCGAAGTATTGGTTTCTGCGAATGGCCCCCTTTATCCCTTGGTTTTTAATTTCTATCCCTCGCGTTTTGCCCATCCAGCACACCCTCTTCTCCTCCCTTCTCTGTAGCCAAACTCAGCTCTCTCTCTCGCTCTCGCTCGCTGGCTCGTTCTTTCGCCTACACCCAGCAACCCCAACCCAGACCGATGCTCCAAATTTCCAGTATTATGAAGGTATCTTCTTCTTGGCGCGTCATAAACTCAAATTCAGCCCTGCAAATCGCAATTATGGCCAGACCAGTCATGCTCCACACCTCGTTTAATGGACTTTTCAGGCAGAAGCATCCACCACCAGGCCTACCGATAAATCCGCTGTCTGTCTGTATGCAAGGCTGTCCAACTGTGTATATGCTATGCTTGTGCTAATTGTTTATGCCAAAATAAATTTAATAGTAATCAAACTGCCCGCCGTGACCATCTTTCTGTCCGCCTGTCTACATTTCGCTTCTCTTTTAAT